CAGTTATTATTTAGACAAAATTTTAGGTTCTAAGCCTTTGGATTTATCTCAAGGTGGCAACCCAAAAGATTAAAAGAATGAAGGCACTGGCAATATCAAAAAATAATACATCTTGCTTTGTTGATACAGTGCTATGCTACAAAGAATTTTGTCCTGTTTAAGTATGAACTTCAGGTAGGCAGCTAAAGCAACCCCCAAAGGTTTAATAAAACCAGGCGAAAGATAAAGCTGAGTTCTGTGTGTCCCTGATCCTATGCTTCTGGATGATATAACTGAGGATTACAACACATTAGCAAATGCAGAAAAAGACTCTTGATGATATAGAAGGCTGTGAGTTCATGCCCTTTTCCAGAGATTTTAACACACACACTTTTCAGGTGGACTTAAAGGATTCCATGGCACCATTCAAAGAAGGCTAGAGAAATTTTCCTATTAATACTGGCCAAAATTTATCCCCAAGTCAGTGTTACTGAAATGGATCTCTCGTCATTTATCACATTGCTGTTTTGCCCATTGCTGACTGCCACAATTTGTTGCATCATATTACTTCAGAGGTAATTCACTGACTGCTAAACTAAGGCCCAGGACTACATGCTGTGGGATGTACTAAAGCTTGGGCAGATGCTGGCAAGGTGCAGTGGGGAAAGCCCCCCATTTACAAATTATAATGAGCGTTCTGTTACATTTCAAGATACCCTTACTGTGAATGTAAACAGTTTTCTTTCACGTTTAGAAAATTTTTTTTGTTGCAACTGAATTGAAGCACAAATGAGGAATGTCAAAATTCCACTGTACAGGATTGTTTTGTGCTGGTTATATTTACTCATAGATAATTTATAAATAAAGTAAATTTTTGAATTAAAGAAGTATCTATTGACTGTTAAATGGCGTAGGATGTCTTGAAGTTGTGAAGTGCACCTCTTTTACTTGAGTTGTATGTTGCAGTGTGTTGCAAAAAAATTTGGAAATACCAATGGTCGATTTAGGGTACAGCAGAATGTGCTAATACATGAATCATCTGGCCTGGCTAAGATGAGGTGTTTCATGTTCTGAATAATGTCATTTTAATTATACAATTCAGGTGTAAATTAGAACAGTAATTGGTAGCTATTTCTGGATTTCTGTCGTAATTTACTGTTCAGAGTCCATTTTTCAAATCATGATCGCTGCAATATTAGAAGTGGTATGTATAACATTGTTTTTTTCCTGCTGCAGTGTCATAGTAAAAGGATTGGGTTAACCTGAAGAATAAGCACAATGCCTAACAACAACGCAATCCCCTAATTAGCTGTCAATTAGCATTATTAAAATGAGGCTGATCATTTCATCTGCGCAATGTTTCAATTTCACTGAGTGCCTTTAGGTCAGAAAAGTCACTTGTGTAGAGTTAAGACAGTTAGTATAACCTTTTGTAGTGCGTTTTTTCTCTCTCTCCCTCCCTCTCGCTCTGTCTTACATCATGTTCCCACTTGGATAATTCTTTAGTTACTCTTAAGAAGTCAGTAAATAGAATCCATGTGCCGTGTGTATCACCGCAAGTTGGAATTGTAGCAGATTGCAGTATAAACACACTGGGGTATAAGTCACTGAACTCTAGTGTTCCCCTCATAGCAAATTGATAGCATAATTTTATTATGCTCTGAACAATGACTACAGGGAATGTGCAAGATCTGCACAGCTCTACATATAATCCATTTGACTAAATGTAACACTTCCATTAGATGAGTGTATAATGAAAGTAGTACTAGATGCCAGCAAGGACTATAACATTTCAGTTTTCAGATCTTGTCAAAAGGGCACACAATAAATCATACATATAGCTTATTAAATGTCATAGGCAGGTGATCCAACAGGGAGCACAACGAGGGTGCTTATATTGCAAGATGACTTCTCTGTCATGTGATATGTATTCTTCAGAGTGATAAGGTCAGAAATTCTTTCCATGGATTTTAATAAGCTACTTATTACCGTCCTTCAATGCTAATTATTTGATATATCCTTTTGGTAACCATCTATTAATATTGAAGTGGTAGCCATATTTTAGCAATGATTGGGTAATAACAATCATTGTTCATCTTTATTTAATTGATATCATAATACTAATGAAAAAAATAGGAAGATTCTGTTGTCAGGACAGAATAAAGAAGTTCTGAAAAAAAAGGTTATCAATTTTTTTACCCCCTAAGGCAATATGCTGTGGGAGTAAAAAGGGGACTTTTTGCACTATGATGTTATTAAGTGCTGTCTAATAGCTGATGTGATAACAGGCCTCTAATACATTAAATCTCAAAAGAAGACTGATTAATTACTATATTAAATCTTAAAATTAGTTTATTATAACTGTCTAAGTTGTTTTATTGTCATCTTATTCAGTGTTTAAAAATATTAAATATTATGCAATTAAAAGACGTATACTATTGGCAGGCAAACTCATAAACAGTCATAATGCTCAGAACCAAGAAAGATAAACCTCTCTGCCTATATGCAGCCATACTGCAAAGCCCAATTTAGAGCATTAGCAGTTCTGCTAGTATTAACAAAGACAAATTAAATTATTAGCTTTTAAAAATCAAATGCATGGTTTGCAGTTTAGACTATATACTAACCACTGCCTAATCCAGAAACATAAACTGAATCTGTGCATGCATGCAAAATTTGATATCTGTCATCATTCATCATATATAAGGATAAGATAAATTTCACACCATATGCCATTAAATACTGATTCTTGCCAAAAGCCTGGATGTAACCACCGCAATATTTTCCCATGAGCCATAATTGAATCAAAAGATGTTTTCACAACAATCAGATAAACTCAAAAAGAAACAGTAATTTGACACTGCAGAGCAAAACCTCAGTATTCAGGTATCATGTGATTTAAGATCCCAAACAATACAAAAATTCCTGTAAGTGAGCACACTCTGTCGAGTTAAATACTCCTCTCATTCTAAATTAAGAACTGAAACAAAAGATAAAGGAGGTAAAACTGCACCTCATTATATGTAAAGTGCAATCTTTTACCTTGCTCTTTATTTTTGCACAGAAGCCTTCACAATATTGTTAACTTCACTTTATGCCGCACAGTCTAAACAGAGCTTGCTAATCTTTCCTTTTTTGCTTCTAACAACTGAATATTAAGTAAACTCCAAGGAATTCCAAACCCAATGTTTCAGCTGTATGAGAATGATGTGCTACTTGCTAATATCAAAACAGAGCTTCCTTGTGGCTTCTCAAGCCTTGATTGTGCTGTGGAAACAAAGGAATGATTCAGCATCTCCTTTCATGTGGCTGCTGGAAACTAGAAATGACTGCTTCAGTCCACTGTCACTGGTCATTAATTTGCCGACATCAAATAAGGAAGCTGTTTTAATTGATTACAGCATTTTTGCAAAACATTCTTTAGTTTGGTAACAGGAATTTCATTCACATGTATTTTTATAGTTATTTAGTAACCTTTGTCATTTTTAAAGGAAGTGTGTGATCCCAATACTTTTGTGGTGTCTATTCAGAAGATGGTCAAGTACATAAAACAACATGTCCAGTGTTTACAAATGGAGACCTCTGCATCACCTTTGACCTTCAGCTTGCCAGCCTATACAAACTGCCGTATGTCCAATTTTTATTCAAAAATGACGATGTCAGCTGATAAAATGGAAACTTTAACACTTGAGTGGCTGAGCTCTTAATGCGGTAAGCTCTTTAAGATATACTATAATATTAATTTGGTACAACATGGATTATAGCCACATAGCTTAAATTTGCAAAATTAAAATACTTAATGGAACCAACAGCTTTAACTGCTCTTGAACTCCGTGTATTCATGAAATTGTTTCAAATACAAACAATATTATTGGATTTTGTGAAAGATGATTTTAATATAAAATAATTTGGTAATTTCTTTTGATCTTCAATACACAGTTTATTTCTGCATAAGTCACCCTGACAGAAGCTAAGCAACTCAATTTTCTGCTCGGTAGCTAGGCATATTGCCTTCTACATAGCACTAGCATGAAAAGGCCGTGGCTAAGCTTTGGTTACTAGTGTAATTGAAATGCTATCCACACTATAGGGTGCATTAAAGTCAGATAACAGCAGTTCCTGTGGCCAATTTAAGTAGCTTGACTTCCTTAGGAAAAAAAATTGCCTGACAGATAAAGCAGACAAACTGGCTAATTCTCCAGGCATGTCTTTCATTGTGATCCTAGAAAAATGAGAAAAAAAATGAATCACAGAACCACAAAATCAATTGACCCTCAGGTTGCTCATCAGGCACGGAGTCCGATAAACCTAAAAGCTTCGTTAATGTCTGCCTGCCTGTATCCCACAGATAGAGCACTTTGTAAATGAACCTGCTTTGATAAATATATTAAGGAAAGCTGCGAATAAAAGGAAAGTCTTCTCATTTGTAAATACAACTCCTGCTACATGGAATTATAATGATAAAATGGGGTTCCATGTAATTAAGTTTGTATAAGACCTGAAATCCGTGCAAATACCTTCCCTGAATTTTGAAAGGAAACTGTCAGTTCAATTAATCTGAACATCACCCGAGAATGTACTGAACAAAATTAAGCTGCAGATAAAGCTCGGGCCAGTATTTTGATAAGTAATTCCTATATCATTTCTTTGCTACTGTGATCATTTTATTTAATCCAACCTCCACATTCCCCTTGCTGCTACCCACTTCCCTCCTCCCTATGATCATTCAAAGTTATGTGCTAAGCCATCTACAAAGGGACAACCAGTATGACCGTAGAAGAGATAATCCATCATATCACATGTGCACGTTAGGAAAACAAAAATCAAAATAAAACAAAAAAGAATATCAATATCCTATTCTAAATAGTGCTACATTTTGAACTGAGACAATAGTAATGTGTCCATTACAGAGTTGAAGTTGCATGTTTGTGTGCGAAATGGTCTTGTATCTCAAAAGATGGGGTTAGTTACAAATCGAGGAGCACCGCCACAGTAATGACAGGCAGAGATAATTCACTCACCAGTTGTTTACTTGTAGGATTGTGAGTCCTGTGTCTTGAGCTAACTGTTTCTTCTGCTCCTCTGATGGGTACGGATGCTGCACATAAACATAAATATCAGTCAAGAGACATGTAGAGCCCTGAAACAAGAGCTGGCACTGATTACATTACATTCAGTCTAACTATAGAAGACTGCTGCCTCATTTAAACAACATTGTTGCAAAGGGGTAAAAAGTAATGCTCACCTAATATGGATTTTCTTTTGAGAAACAAAATAAGTTATTTTGATTACTGGGTGTTGACACTTTTTTGGAATGGCCTCTAGCCCTTTGAAAGCCATGTAACTGCAGGAGGCTTTCCTCATCTTACCTTGTCCATATTAGTAATGACCCCTTGCTACTACTAAACCACTAATTGTTTTCAGCAGATGCAAAAGAAATGAATAGGACGAGTCTAAATTCACAGTTGGTAATTTACATTGTATAAGGTTGCCTTAGCCACTTGGACTGCTCTTAGTCATCAATCGTCCTCTGTCAGGTGCTGCACTATGCCACTGTGATAAATACGCTTCCTAACACCAGAATTCATCCAAACAATGTAATTGTCCTTTATTTTCTACTCGGTAATGAAGATAATTAATGGTTTAGACAAACAAAAAGGATGTTTCATCAGGAAGAGCAGAGGGTGAAATCAAAAGGCTTAAATGATAATTTTGAATGGCTGAAATTTATGTTGTAGAATAATTTCTTAATATATCTCAAGTGACTCAGTGCTGTAGCACCAAACAAATTACTTACCTAAATCAAAATACATTAGTACTTCCCTTTCCTGTATTGTCCGCCAATATAATCTATTTCTGTACTGAAGCCAGTATTCCAGCACAGATGACAATAAGGTGTCAGTATAAAACTAAGGCTAATACTGTAGAAAAAAAGCAACACACCTTTGGGTGATGAAGTAATGCTATGTATATGGCCATTTGAAATCTCTAACTCATTCATTTTCTGGCACAGCCATCCTGTAGCAATTGAGGTCTCCCAGTGGAATACATGCTAGAATATAGTAACAATGATGATGGATCACTTCATCACTGTGGAACCAGACTGTGGTGAATTAAGGACACAGGTCATAGGTTTGGCTGTCCTGAAACCACTCTGCACTGATGAAGCTCTCAGAGGTGTGAAATGGTAGCTATGTATATTTTAACTAGATATTAATTTTCATCTTCCCTGTTACAAACTTAATGCTCTGCCTCTTAATATTATGGTCAATAATAACTCCCAATGATTTCACACTGGATATATTCTGCTGTACAAGCTTAATTATTTTAACTCTCATTTGGCATGGTCAATTTATGCTGCAATGTACGTAGCTAAGTGATACTACTTCCAGACAACAGCCAAAACAGGCAGGAATGCTGCATGACTCACTTGGCCTCACAGACTTATGCTACTAAACATGGAGAGTGTGTAAAGCACACACATTCAAATTGCAGCAAATGGCTTCACTTGCTTGCTGCCTCAACAGTGCTTTACAGGCTACCGAATAACAATTATGGAAGCTTCAGTGAATGGCTTTCGTAATTGTGTCTTGAGAAATAAAACAGTTATCATTTCATACACTTCAAAGGCCATGCTCAAAACCCAGTAGCTATGTAGTTCTATTGTGAACAGGGTTCCCCCACAGAATACAGTGCTGCCCCCTCAACAATAGCTGGCTTCTCTCCTGTTCGCGCCTGGCTTCAAGCCAGGCGTCTGTTTGCTACACCATTAATTTATGTTCACTGAGTTGGTGCAAGGTTCTAGAGCAATGTTTGTGATCAAGTTGCCTTCCAAGTTGAGCCGATAGCCTGCCATATTTTGAGACGATATGTCTGAGACCTCGTACTGAAATCTATCAGTACTGATGTGTGAGGTTAAGGTGAAGTTCTGTCATTTTCTAATGCGTTCATGCATGTATAATATGAGGAGGTTCAAGTGTCCATTTATTGTCCCAATATATAGCTTTAACGCAAGTGAAATTTTCACTGAATCTGGGTAACGTTCTATAAATTACCTGTACTACCCTGTCATAAATTTGTAGGAATTGCACAGTGCACTCAATCAGCAAGTCCTCTGAATAAACATCAACATCAATTTAATGGCTTGTGCACACATTGTAAACCAGAGAATTTCAACAGAGGGAAATCAGATAAATCAAACAGACCCAAGCTCACAAAGAAGAGCTTCTAACTAAGCCTTTACACTAAAGTTCCCTTATTTCACAAAATATCTGGAACTTTTTACGATAAGTATTTGAAAAGTAACTTTATGCAAAGCATGAAATAAATATTGGAAATTTCTGGTTTGGAGTACTGAATGCAGAAGCTTTGCAGTTAAAATTTTAACAGACAGTGTTTGAAATGTATTTTATTGTACATGAAAAAATGCTTTATTTTAGCACATACATTCAAGCATAGCCGTAGATGGAGAATATAATACCGTCTACATAATTGATTACAACGACATACTTTGTGCCCCATTTATTCTGCATGTTTGATGTTCATGTATTGCACCACACCAGTACCAAATGTGTGGTGGAACTCTGCCAATTTTGCAGAAACTGCCAATTCAGCATAAGTAGCAAATTCACCAGGGCAACGGCAGTACAAATGGAGGGTGTAACCGTAACTGTCCATTACAATCACAGTTAAAATGCTACACCACATTGTGCACTTTAACTGGGACACAATGTGGCTGCCCCCCCAAAAAAACCCGTTAAAACTGCCTCTCAGGGAACAAGAAAAAAAAGTTGCTACAGTTAATATTATCTACAGTGATCAAAACAAAAGTTTAAGCCAGCTATGCTCCTCACTTTAAACAATCCTGATAATACAAAACACTTAACAGAAAGAACCAGCATCATAGATTCCAAGTACTGACGACTAGAGATGACACTTCCATTCCTGTACCCTAAATTACTGGATCAGTGTAGCCAGAATTTATGAGAGTCAGACAGTGGACCTCACATAGCTCACATATTAGACCATTAGGCATCTAACTACCTCTGAACAATTTCAATGCATTATCTCTCCTTCTCCCTGGGGCACAAACTTCACTCTTCCATACTTTTAATATATTTTGTCTGCACGAAGCAGATCGAGTTATTACATGCCAACAGAACACAGCAAACACTAGTATCCTGGCTGTGAATGCAAAGAGATGTGATTTCAGCATGCCTACTGCACAGACAGTAAAACAGGATAAATACTGACACAGCAAACTTTATCTAGAGATGGCCATTTTACTCCCATGTTATAGCTTGATTTGTTTTCATACTGACTGTAGATCAAACCTATTCCTAGAAAGACTGTTCATTATTTTTGTTTACAAGTCATGCACACAAGGAATCCACTTATCTTAATTTCATAGAAAAGCCTGCAGTAACCACAAATAGAGGAGTGGTTTCCACATGAATTATCTCAAGTCAGTGGTTACAAGGCATTTCATAAGTAACCTCTGCTTAAAGCTCATCAAATAAAGGGCACAATCACAACAGAACAATAGATTGTTAACATAAAGGGTCAAATTCACTGTGCGTCATTATGACGGTGTCTGTGGGGAAAAATATCAGACTCAGAATAACAGAGAGTCTCTCAATATGGCTGTTCACAACTTTATTTCTTGAAAGAAAACAAAATGTTCCTTTAAAAAGCACGTACCGGATGCACGTGGAATTTTCCAGCTCGATAATAGCTTGACTAACGCTGGAAGTTAGTTAAAGAAGTAAATCTGACTTTGACACTAGATGACGGAGGGATTACATCCCAACATTTGACCGCAAACTGCATCGTTTGGATTGTTTTTTGAAATTAGGTCTTGGCCTGGGGCATTATTGGAGTAGTCAACTTCATAAAATCTGCACTCCTGCTGGTCTTTGTCCATTACAAGGATATGATACATGATGGCCTACCAGCACTTTATAAAGAAATCCATACTTCTGATTGACTGAATATATGAAATGTAAGTCATTGGTCCTTCATTAGATTTCTTACATTCACTAACAGTTCCGTCTGCAGAGATCTTAACATTGTATTGAAACTTCTCTTACTTGTACTTGTCTCACAATATTAACAGAACGCTGGTTTCTCTCAGTCACCCACTCTCTTTCTACCTCTTAACCCAGTTCTTCTCTTCTTCACTTGCTGTCAAATCCAAGAGTATCAACAATAATTTACTGCTCCACTATACTTTGGGTCAGTTTTCGATATGAAAGGTACTTTAATAAGGCAAATTGCTGATGGTCATAGCAACAACAATATAACAAGTGAAATATAAGCATTGGAATGGACCACCTGGGAAAAATGGTCAGCTTCTATTTTATTTGATTTAAAGTCTCATGGAATCTCTTGTTCATGAAATAAGTTGACTATACAGTATTTATACCACTGGACTGAATAACAGCAATAAAACACCACTTTGGTCCTACAGTACGTAGATAAATATATGGAAGCTAGTCAATGTGGATCAATTTGCTGAGAAAAAGCAATGAATCTGTAGCAAGTGGCCTTGTTTAAATACAGGATGGGGCACACTGGTCAATCTAATTTCAGCTACAAAAAAAAGAATTAACACAAATATAGTCCTCTTCAATTCTGAAATCCTTCTATTCCTTTGAAACAAGGAAAATCCAATATGTAATTTCAAATAAACTAATTACTTCTTGGCAGTTTGATTTGCAATCCATTAGTCTGAAACTCTGGAATGCAAAGTCTATAAATCCTGCAATACCAGGAGCAGCAAGTAGGTCTAAACGAAGTTTATCATAACATTAGGAAAGGTGCTGACTTGGTGTATTTATTAATTGGTTGGTGTGTTGCTGGATTAGACAGGGCCGAGAAGAGAGGCATCACTGAGCGCAAAAGGTGGAACTAAACAGCTGGTGATAAAGAGAAGAACTGGAAGAAGAAATAGATAGAGGGAGAAAGAACCAGAAACCACTACTAGAGCAGTACTGAGACCGGCACAAGTAGATGCAATTTTAAGACCTCTGCAGACAGAACTGTTGGAGAGTGTACAAAATCTAACTGAAGCAGCCAGAATTTGAAACCCATGTAGGT